GTCAGACAAAATCTATTTCCATTGTACACCCCAGCCAGAGCTTTAAGGTCTGCTGACCAGCTGTTGCTGATAGTGCCCAAGACCAGGCTCAAAACCCGAGGGCACCGAGCCTTCGCAGCAGCTGGACCTAGGCTCTGGAACACTCTGCCCCTCCATGTGAGGTCGGCCAAGACACTATTTTTAAATCCTCACTAAAGACTCACTTCTTCTCCCTGGCCATCTAGTCAGAGCGGAGCATGACACCTGACTATTCCCTGTGTTTTTGTTTTTTATATTTCTGTTGTAAATGATTGTCTTTTATTGTGATTGTAGTAATGTGTTTTTATTACATGTACAGCACTTTGGCTTGACCAAAAATCGCTTTTAAATGTGCTATATAAATAAAACTTGATTTGATTTGATTTGAGTGTCTTGGCAGGACTTTAAGAAGCAGAAATATGCAATCTCCCCAGTGATCGCAAGGTCATTACTGATCACCGAAATGGAGATACGTCTAATCTACTTTGTTCAGTGCAGACCACTGTAAAAACGGTTCCCAAGTTCCAGGTGGCACAGTAATTTGTCGTTTTTGAGAAAGAAGTCTCATTAAATCACTCATGAGGTTCTTAATCCCCTTGGGGATTAAAGTCAACTTTTTCTTACTACCCTTGATCTGCTCAGAGCAGGAGGGGCTAAGAGTTGCCAGTTTGGGAACAAATCTGCAGACTCAGGTACACTACCAAGCACCAAGCCAAGCTAATGTATGGGAATTGACTGCTCCTTCACTTTCCCTCCAGATCACACCTTCACAGAGACACATTTCACTGACAGCAAGGAGAGAGAAGCCAAGCAAAAGTCCTTTCTCGTTGTCAAATGGTCCAGATAAGAAGGAGGCAGGGAAACGGAGAGATATGTTACATATGCCAACATATCACGAGTCAACCTGGATAGGCCTGCACTGTACAAGACAAGAGACAAGGTCCGACGAGGGGAGAGGCAGAGAACTCAACGACCTGAGATCATACTGCTTCAGATTATCTACAGCACAAATGTTACATTTACATCAGACTTGATGCCCCAAATACAACTGGATTAAAGGTCGATTAGAATCAAATAAAGTGGTCTGTTGCTTGCGGCTAAATGGAGACATCAAAGAGATGATAAGAAATCATGCCAAATGACTGGTTTAATTGGAATAACTCAGAACGCACGTATACTCTAAAGATGTATTGCAAAGAATGGTATCAAAGGAAATCCACAAGCCTGTCTCAGAGTTTTAAAAAGTTCCCTCATTACCATTTTACATCTGGTTGGTTTAATCTGCGTACATTACATTAATTGCGAGTTTCAGCATGTAACTTCAGATTATGTCTTAAATGGAAACCTTCTGGCATTCTCATGGTGAATATAAGACAAGACCCCTGGAAGTCACTGCTATCTCCCTACTAGTAATTTAAATATATTGTCTAGGTTTGAAACTTGGTATCCATCTTTTTATTTAACTCTCTAAGAGTGAATAAGAGCATTTCCCAAATGTCGTTATTTTCATTTAAGACTACATTTGAATTTAAGCCCTTTCAGACACAATTGAACTATAGTACATGCGCCACAAGTTAGAGAGAAAAGAGTAAAATGGCCAGCTTTAAAAAAAAATTCACAGCAACATTTTGTGAACATTGATAAACAGCTACCTGTTAAAACACACCAGATATGCCCACTTGACTGGAGATGTGTCTCAGGGCAATACACGTGCAAACTTGGGTTGTAGAGTTCAGGTAATTCAGACACACAAACAGTTATTTTTTCTTCCTGCCGTGCCTTCAAGCTGCAAGGATTAAGAAGCCACCTTTCTTCCAAATGTCTTTCATCTTTGCAATTAGATAACAGTGGTTTGATTGCAGGAATTCTGTTAGTGTCAAGATTTATAGATTAATACTTGAAAATAATGTTTAAATTACTGTGACAGCGAGTGATCTTTTAAGATATTTGATAAGAGATTGTTCATGGCCGTTATTTACATAATTGATCTTCACAATTTGTTTTTGGGGATGAAAAATATCAGGGAAAGAGTTGCTCTGCAAGAGCTTCCAGCCACTGTTGATATCCCATATTCCCCATTGTGGGTGGGAAAAATCTCACAATCTAGGATCTGCTCTAGGATTGTGTTTAACTGCGCTGGAAGACTGGGGTCATAGCCTCAGGGCTAAGTATAGTGTGTGAAGCTACTATCAAGGGTCTCTAAAACATGGTCTTTGAACTTGTTTTACGGAGTAAAAGTTCACCATACAGCACTACCTCATTAACAACCAGCTATTAGAAACAGACAAGAGGTACCTGGGACCATCTTAAATAGACAAGGCACCAATCCTAGAATGCAATCCTAGACAATTTCTCCAAAAAGGTTGCAGTATCTCTTCTTTGTGGGAACACTCATCTTTTAACAAAGGCTGCTATTCAGTTTGTCTCACTTTGACAATGTTTAATACGTCTGTTTGTTAAGAAGAAACTGCCTATGTGTGTCTACAAATGTAAGTGTACGTTTTGTTGAAGCTGAGGTCCAAAGTATAATCATTGCTAAGGGAGATTGTCCTGGTCATCTTTTGCTCGAGCAGTTTCAGCTCTTTAATCAAGGTGAGTTTCAGGAAAACCAAAATACATATTTGCCCTTTTTTAATGCTGTAACTCTGTACAATACAATCACATTGTGCAATTTAAATGTAAATGTTGATTTAAAAGTGTGTTGTCATTTGTGGGAAAGGTTTGATTCTCGTGCGTTATCACTGATATGTTCATTATAAAGTTAACGTCATATCCACTTGTTGTACTTTGCTTTATATATTAAACTAAGTAAATTCCTACAATCTAATTAAGGTTCTGTCTGGGTTGAAGGCAGAGGTAAAAGGTATGATAAGTTATAGACTGCTGAAAATCTTGTCCAAGTTCTGTATACACTGTACAGTAAGTATAAGTATTGAACTTAAAAAACATAGTTATTACAACAGCAAGCTACACATGGCTCCTGCAGCCTCTTTAACCCTCTAATACTTCTGCCATAAAGTAATACTGGCGGTTCTTACATAACAATAGAGGGCTGAACATAAGAATATTAAGGCCGCGGGAAGTAGGTTAACAGTGCTGGTCTCCCATGACTTTATAAGAATGAGAGCTAATTCACTGAAGAGGCTTTGACAGAAAGAAAAAAAAGACCTTACAATCTGAAGCTCTACATTCCAAGTAAGAGCCACAGCATTCAGACTACAACAGCACTCCTTCTCATGATACAGAAGTAGAAGTTAAGAAGGGGGAATGATTGTCTTTCTGCAAAACAATAATATACAGTAAACTACCTTTTAGGCACACATTCACAAACTTACTCTTTGAAGTATTAACATTATATATGCATAACTAATTGCACTGGTGAAATGTAGTGAAGTACATTTAATCAAGTACTGTACTTAAAGGTCCCATGTCATGGCCATTTCTACTGATCATAATTCCATTGTTGAGGTCTACTAGAATAGATTTACATTGTGCAATTTTCCAAACTCACATTGATTTTCTCATACAGCATCTCTGTATAGTATGTGTATTCACTGAGTTGCACTCTCTGTCCTAGACGCCTTGTTGGAGTTCCTGCCCCCCCCCCCCCCCCCCCCCTCCATGTGAGCCCAGTGTGCTCTGATTGGTCAGCCCGCCCACTGGCTCGCTGCTGCGAGGAGCTGACAGTGTGAGCTGGCTTACTGGTGTGGTTTCCTGCTTGCTGCGAGTCATCGCAAATGGACGTGGGAAGGGGGGGTGCTGAGGGAGCTGCAGCAGCCCCTTCTGCGAGGCTCCACTAGCACCCGCATCCCCCCCGCACCCCGAAACGCGGTGCACCTACAGTGTAAGCGCGCCACAGTTTCGCGCACTGCGAGGCTCCACTAGCACCCCCCCAGCGCATCACATTTTCGCCGCTAAAAGAGTGTGTGTGTGAGGAGCTCCACGGATTGGTCCATTTGGACCAATGGGTCCATTTGGGTATGGGCACGTCACCATACCAGAAAACAATGGAAAATGAGAAATCTCCAACAAGGCGTTCTGGGCTAGTTTTACTCGCTACAGGGTGTACTTTGAGGGTTTGTGACTTTGCAGACCGTTAACATGCATAAAAACCTTCATAACACACAAGGGGACGGGTAATAACCGGAAAAGCATGACATGGGACCTTTAAGTACGATTTTGGGGTACTTGTAATTTACTTGAGTGTTTTTATTTTAGCCAATATTGTACTTCCTACTCCAATACAATTATTTGACAAAGTTAGGTACTATTTACTTTACAAATTAGGATTATTAGCTAATATCAATATATCAACAAACTGATAAATCAACCATAATATATAATTATAGGTTAAGAAAGATGTCCAGTGGTGGTAGAAAAGAAAGTAATTAAAAGTACCTCCATCTTTACCTGCTGTGATGAACACATTACGCAGCAATAATTATAATTTTGGAACTTTAGTTCAAATTGATGCTAATACTTTTGCACTTTTACCTTGTACGACTTTAAATGCAGGACTTTGACTTGTAACAGAGTATTTTTACAATGTTGTATTTCAACTTTTACTTAAAATATCCGCCTCTGTCTAATGGCCAGCTAAAATGTCCCAATGATATCGTTTATTAATTTAAAGGTTAATGTGACATAGCTTAGCTTTAGCATAATCATGTTCAACTACATTTAAAGTCCATGGCTACCACAAATTACACACGATGTTAAAATTGTCTACATTTCAGGAGTGATGCTCTTTACTTGACGTTATGATTAATGTGTTTTATGTAACAATAAGCTATCTTTTCTGCTTTGAAAAGTAGTTAAAAATACGTGCATATAAACCCACGGAACACACGATAAGACATGTTTCTCTGAGTGGACAGGGGACAGCCTGGACGGGTGACACAAGCAGGGAAACATTAGTCATAATATCAGAAGTAATACTTGTCAAAGAGAGAAGCAAAAAGAAAGCGGAATGAGGAGCTTACATTGACTGCTGTAGAGTGGAATGTCTCCGCGGTGTGTGTCTGTCAGGATGTTGCTATCCTCCCCGGCTGCTGCATTCAGGTTCAGAGTGTCTGCTCCAGCAGTCTGCCGCATCTACAGCATCGCTGCCCAGCCGAGAGCAGAGCAGAGAGCAGAGCCGAGAGGGCGGGTCGGGGAAGCCGGGCAGGATGGATGGACGAGGGACGCTTAGCTACTGTACAGACCCGGCTGTCAGTGACGGGTCACATGGGCAAGAAAAGGCTCTTCTGCTTCGTAGAAATGTGGATTTCTGCTGTTATAATCTTTATCATGGGTGACAGGTGTAGGCTTAAATTATTATTATTATTACTTGTCATTTGTTAGACGCTTTTATCCAAAGCGACTTACATACATTCAGTACTGTGGACAATCCCCACAGGAGCAGTTTGGGGTGAAGTGTCTTGCCCAGGGACACAACGACATGCTGACTGCAGTGGGACTCGAACTTGCTACCCTGTGATTCGAAGTCCAGCACACTACCCACTGAGCCACAGCCTCCCATGTTTAAATGTTTATGTAACCCACATTTATATAACCTGAAGGCTTTTTCCCCCATTTATTTATATTCCAAAGTGGACAAAGTTAAATAATGTTAAACTTAAAGGTATGGTATTATTACTGCTATTATTAATTGTTATTCATTCACTAATATATGTACACAAATATAACACTAATCATTTATTTATTTAAATATATTACAGTTGTCAATTGGTCAAGCCAGATTAATGCAACGGCAATTTGAACACATGAGTGATAATCCATTCTTGACCTTATAGAAGGAGTAGTGTCGCAAAATTAATAAATAGCACTTTTTTTTTTTTTATAAGGCTTACAGAGCAAGATCAATACACTGAAAATGATTGTGAGATGCGTTTGAAAGTCTAGAAATAGCTAGTGCTTGGACCTGGAGTCAAGGTTTTGTTTTTGTTTTTGGACTGAATTTATTAATTTATGAAAAATGTGCCATCAAATTACAATTTGCTATCAGTATAACCCTTAAACTGCTCACGTTTAGAAATTCTAATTTGTTTTTAATGTATTATTCCCTAAATATATTGTCTTAAAACTTGAATAGCATAATGTATACAGCAGAACTATGGCAAAGAAACACCTTCCCTTCCGTTCACATGTTCCCCTGTAAATATTATGTTTATGTTGCTTTGACACATCCTGTGAAAATTGGAGACACTTTTGAATTCCTCAGAGTCTTGGGGGAAGTGACACGTATGGCAACAAGCAGCAACTCGTCAACAAGGACTGCATATCTCAGAGACTGAATCTACCGCTACATATGTACATGACATGTCCAGACTTGAAAAGGTACCTTCTCTGTTACTCATCCCCTCTTGTCTGTCATCCATCTCTGACTGCCCCCCACACATGCCAGAGGGGAGGAATTCTCGAGTAAACACACCTGGTGTCAAACACATGATGGGTCACTTCACAATAGTTGTTCCACACACACGTCTGTTATGGATGGTACATCTTCATACCGGATAGAAAAAGGTTTGCATTAAGTGTTTCTAGTTAAATGCCCATAGAGTAGTTAGACTACTTTAAACAAGTCTTCCCTCCCAGAAACTTCCAAAGCGACACATATGAGCGTTTTTTCGGGATTGGGATTATTGCTTTTTTCAGGACGCCGGTTTACTTGCAAAAAAATAGCTAGAATAATGACAGAATACAATTTAGGATTTATATAGCAGAATTAACTTTTGACATCACACCAATATAATATAATTTGGCAGAATGGTCGTCCTGTAAACGTCATGTCGTTGTCCGAAACGACTTAAGTAAAGTGCAAGCACTGTACCTCTAGTTTGTAGTTAATAAAGTAAGTACTTCCTTAGATACATTTCAACACTATAACCAGTTATACTGTATATAAAACTGTCTTTAGGGGTATTGTAATGGCAATTTCCTGTTTCTATGTCCAATATATTTTTGTCATTACGTCACAGAAGGGCTGAAGAGTGATCCAGACGCAGACACAAACAGATGAGTTTCCGGTCCTTTGTTGCAGTTTATAATGAGGTTTATTCAGGGTTTACATACCAGGGTTTAATTGTACAGTTTAGTTGTTGTGTGATGAGCATCTGCCGGGCTGGTGGAATCGGTATGCTCTCTCCTTCTGTGTCCCCCTCTCCTGTCACCTATGACCTCTTTATATACACCCGGTGCAGCTAAACCCCGCCACCAAGTGTTCAAAAATAATATTGTACTATACGTATAATTTAAATAAACTGACACACCAACAACACCCATAAAATGGCTCCTACAGGTATTGTAACACAAACAAACTTAGATAACTGCAATGATGCTTTATTTTTTCTTATCTAGCAAGAACATGTAAAACTATAACTGGACTTTGTTTTTTCTCCCATTAATATGCTTTACCCCAGTAGTCTCACAATCTCTACAGGTCTGCACATTTACATAACAGTTAATTTGTGGAGCTCAAAATGGAGGTCGAGTTTGTACTGTCCCGTCAATTATGTAAGTTGTGTCATGTTTGTGATTGTCATGTTCATGTTAGTTTAGTTTATGTTCCACTTCCTGTTTTATTTTGTACTCACCTTGTCTCATTCCAGGTCCCTTTACTTCCTGCCTTGGTTCTTTTTCCCGCCATCGTCAGTGTCTGCCCCGCCCCTGATTGTTTCCACCTGTGCCCACTTACCTCATGTATATATTGTCCTGTCTCTCCTTGTTAGTTGTCGGTTCGTCTTGTTCGTTGTCCCAAGAAGCCAGATCAAAGTCATCGCTTAAGAGATTCAGTGTTTTGCCTTTTTCCCTCCATGTGAGCGCTTTACTTTTGTCATTTTGTTATTTCCTCTAAAAGAGTGATTTTGTTTTTGCAAGTAAAGATTATTTTTCTTCAAACCTTTTTTGTCTCTGGGTTGTGCATTTGAGTCCTCTAAACTATTGAGTCAAGGCTCCTAACAGAGTTCTCAGATGGGCGCTTTCTGACGAATGAAGACATCTCTGGGATTTGGCACCTGATGCACCTCTCTGGAGCACGAAGGCAGTGACAGGACCCTTTTGGGAGGACAAAAGACCATGGCTGGACCCTAGTGGAGGATGAAGGCCATGACGGGATCCCAGTATACAGGATAAAGGATGTGGTGGGGGACATGGAGGACAAAGGCCTATTAACCACTAACTGAAACAGGACCATGCAGTTGGAAGTCAGGACTGCCTCATCTTAGCCAGGCGAGGTCAGAACTGCCTTTGATCAGAATAATCTTTTAGGTGTCGAGCTGGACTCCTCAAATGGACAAGAAGGTCAGATGTGGGCTGAACCACTGACTGAACAGCATGATCAGTTGTCGGTTGGTTTATTTACAAGAAGGCTCAGAGTCTGGCAGAAATGTATTTAATGTAATACATGTAAAGCTGGTTATAACAGTTAAACATACTCTGAGGGAGTAGGCTGATAATGCATTTGACACAGGTAGATGGAATCAGGGCAGGGCAAATAATCAGAAAAAGGCGGGATAACACAAGACAGGAAGAGATCCTGACATGACACAATGACCGTGTCTCAATTCAGGGGCTGCACCCTTCGGAGGCTGCATTTGTAGACCGCATACGTCACTTCCGCCGAAAGAAGGCTGTCCCAATTTTTTTAAAAGACCAGACTCCTCCGAATGCGGCCCACGAGTGCGGCATTATTTTCCCAGATTTGAAGGATACATCTGATGTATCCACCGCGGTCTACCATATCCCAGGGTGCAATGCGCGCAGGGAAGAGGGAGTTTTTTTCAAATTAAATGGCTTCCGGTCTCCCCAGCAGAGTGGATTTAAAAGCAGCAGCAAGCGGAGGAATCACTAATAAATGTGAGTATTGGGTTTTAACTTACTTTAAATGAACTAACGTCACACACGTCAAACCCAAGGGGCATTAAAACGTACATTTTCGTTACAAAATACGTGACGTTAGTGACGCTAACTAGGTAGCTGGATGTACTGCACTGTTAGTTCACACTTATTCTTAATTCAATTCAGAAGTTTGCTAAAGTCATACAGAGATATTGGCTCTGTTATAGATAAGTTATACTTTATATTACATAACTAGACAAGTGAAAACATTTAGCCTACAGTACGGTGGGATTTACCCTGACGTGTAGCTGCTGTTTGTTTTATTTATTTCTCTGACATTTTGCAATGTTTTACTGTTTATTAAACTTTGGGTCAACATTACAACCTTTATATTCAGCTCATGCTGCTTTGAGGTAGGGCCAAAAAAAGCCTATTTTAAATATTTCCACCAGATCTGATCATCTTTTATTTAGGTTAAAGTTTATTTAATTTATCATAATCCCATAATAATAACACAATCACAAATAGACAGCAGCCTTTTGCTTCATATCGCATTAACACCATATCCCAACGGGCATTGCGGCTAAAACATCCAATCACCGAGCTTAAACCATAGCTGAGGATCTTGGGTAATCAGTTCAGTGGCTGTGTATCGCAATGATGCTCGAAATTTCCCATATAGGCCTACGTCTGTTTCCAGTTATTTTTATTTTGAAATTCAGTTCCTGACTGACGCCTAAAAAGCCCAAGATTATGGAATCAAACAAATAAATAAAAACATGGATAATTGTGTGTTATTGTTGAGTAAATAACAGTGTGTTATTTAGAAAAGAATAACAAATTAGAAGGAAACAAATATTTAAAAAAAATACAGGTTTCAGTATTCTGAGGCTCTGAGCCCCATTTCTTTTCCTCACAGACGGCAACAAAAGTCCAACATTATACGATTTAAAATAAAAACAATAATCGTGGCTTGATATTGAGTAAGAACATATTTTCATGAGCCGTGGAGGAACCATCGCTGCAACAAGTCCTCCAACTCATACGACCAAATGGGTCGATTGTTTAAGCCCTTATTACGACCAAATATGTCGTTTGTTCAAGCGCTTAATACGACCTATAATTACGTTTTAAAGTTGTCGGCCTCTAGTGCTCCCGTTGAATGCAAACGTTACAGATGGTCGTTTATTCACAAATAACCCTCTCTGTAAAATCCTAAATTGTAGGATAGTTTGGCCATTAAAACGCTTTATGATTAGATTTCTAGCGAGAAGTATATATTGTACTTTTAGAATCCACGTCCAGTCGTTATGTAGGATCTATGGTTTGATAGATATTACGAAGATGATT